TTCCAAGTAGCCCGGAATTACAGGCATGCGCTACCACGACCCGGCTGATTTTTTTGATTTTATTGTAGAGATGAGGTCTCGCTGCCCCAGGCGGGTCTCGAACCCACAGGCTCAGGCAATCCACTCACCTCAGCCTCCCAAAGGCGCAGGATTACAGGCTGAGCCACCGAGCCCGGCGTCAGCAAATTTTTAATCTTAAATCTAAGTCTTCCCTTAATATCCAAGGGCCAAATGACAAAAACATGAGTATTTCAGTAGCCACTTAAAGATTAGCTTTTCAGTAAATTTTATACTCATCCTACAGATCAACTTAAGACTGTAGGAAACTGTCACAGAGACAGAGAAAAATAAGTTAAAAAAAAATTTAGAAACCCATAAAGTTTCTTCTCTCGATTTATGAACTGCCATTATGATTGGACATCCTGAATAATTTCTTTTCTACTGCAGAAATGGAAAGAGAGTAAAATCTTCTCCTTTATATAGCCACCTATCGACATCATCTGCTCTTCAAAGACTCATAATCCTACCAAAGAGGAGTAGACCAGGAAAGAGAAAAACCTTGTTAGAAAATAGGTGGCACAGGAAGAGTGGTAATGGGTTAACGGTTCTATCTAGAGAGGGATTTAAAGAGTAAAAGTTAGGAGAATGAGTGAGGAACAGCCTGAGCATGAGAAGTACTTTTGACAGACTAGATCTGAAAGAAGTGACAGGAGATTTCAGATAAATAATAGGTTTAAGGGTTTTCTGTGAGACAGTGAAACCTTAACTACTATGTACTAATTGTCTCCATTGGTAAATACAGATAACAGTTCTGAAGAACAATTATGCCAAATAATCATTTAAAAGGCAGCCAAATTAATGAAAGTGAATTAAGAGTCTGCCAAGGAGTCAGTAAAGGGCAAATGAAGGTTCTTGGGAGGTTCAACCAGCTAGGCAGCCATAACTGAGAGAGATCTTTCCCAGATTTCAGTTCTTCATTCCCAAATCCAACCTCTTTATAACTGGAACCTCTGACCCCCTTCACGGGAGATCCCTCTGAGATCCCATGACTCCATTAAAGGAGGAGATATGTCCTGAGTTGGAACTCTAAATTATTTTTCCCATTACGCTGTTAGATACAGCAGTCTATGGCACTATCCATTTTTTTGTGTTCCGTAATCAGTGTTTCTGATATGTTTTTAAGGTAATTGTACATTTGTGAGCTGTCAGTTAAAATGTAACTTCTATATGTGAGATTTTTACTCTATGTTTCAAATTCTAAGTAACTGACTTACAAAATTTCACTACTCATTTATAAGTTAGGAAATTACAATGTTGTCAGCATAATTCAATAATGCCATTATAATTACACATTTACTTTATTATATAAGTGAATGTCAATCTGTTATGTTATTATGCAGATGTGGAAAATTGAACTTTCTGGGTTAGTTAAATGAAAAACAGTTGCAGAAAATAATTAGTGGCTATAATTATAATAATATATCAAAATACATCATTAGTATTCACCTAGTATTGTAATGGCTGCTATAGTGCAAATGCATACAAATAATATATTTGACATCAATTTTTAGAAACTTAATTATAACAGAGAGTTCTGAAATTCTTTGATCTCTAAAGGATCTTAATTTTTAACTACTTAAAACTAATAATTCACTCTCTGCCTCCCTTATTCAGCACCTAACATCTGCCTTTGCCAAGAATAGAAACTCATTCACAATTAGAATATCAAAAAAATTTTTTTCCTTTTTCTTTTTTGTTCTTTTTTTTGAGTTGGAGTCTCACTCTGTCGCCCAGACTGGAATGCAGTGGCACGCTCCCAGCAACCACAGCTTCGACCTGCTGGGCTCCGGCGATCCTTCCACCTTAGCCTTCCAAGCAGCTGGAACTACAGGCGTGCGCTACCACGTCTGGATAATTTTTTTGATTTATTGTAGAGATGAGGTCTCACCAAGTTGCCCAGGCAGGTCTCGAACCCGTGGGCTCAGGCAATTCACTAACCTTAGCCTCCCAAAGTGCCGGATTACAGGCTGAACCACAGGCTGAACCACCGAGCTGGCTTTTTTGTTCTTTTAAAAAAACATTTATTTTAGAGTTGTGGGATACACATGAGGATTTACTATCTAAATAAATTGCATGCAGGTGAGGTTTGGGCTTCTAGCAAGCCCTGTCTCCCCCTGGTAATGGACATGGTACCCAACGGGTGGTTTCAAAACGTATTTTCTGAAAAATTTATTAAGTTGCTTGGGATTTTGAAAAATCACATTTTATCCAAAATCTGTGTTTTACTTACTTAACACATGATTTTAGCTCTCCTCATAGCACTAATTAATTCTTCGAATCAGTGACATGAACAGGAGTGCAACAATGTAAATTTTAGGTACCATATTTTGTAGAAATATCAAACACATAAGAAGATTAGAGAAAATAGTAAATACTGTCATTCTAAAGCAAAAAAACTGACAAATACAGAACTAATTAGGAAAGCATTTTTATGTATTCATCAAGAACTGGCACTTCCAAATGTTGCTACAACATGCTGAAATGTTTTCATGAATACCTGTTTATACCAAGAGATATATGCCCAACTTAGCAAACGTATTGATGACGGTGATTTAAAATATGGCTTCAAATCACAGTACTTGGATCATAACGCTTTCTTACCAAATTTAAGTTAGAGGCAGGAAACTATTATCATAGATGCAGAATAAACCTATTCAAAAAAGCCAAAGAAAACCTAACACATTAGAACTGAGCTACATTAATTTAATTTAAAACACAAAGCCAAAAGCAACTCATCATTATCTGAGACACATTTAATCCCAAGCCTCACACCCAGTTTCCCTTCTGCTATTTCCTCTACAAAAGAACATCCTATGGTCTTACCTAGAACATCAAGACCAAGGGTCTGCGCTAGTTTACTTGCACCATCAGCACCAAAAATATGAGTTTTGTGCTTACATTTTGGACACTGGAAAACACTCATGTTTTGGATAAGGCCAAGAACCTAGAATAATGAAAACACATTGATATCAAAACAAAATTAAATCAGATCTGAATATACTATTCTAACAAGTTTTTACTGTATACCTACTAAGTTCTAGTGATATGATGAGTAAGTTATGGCCTCTACTGTGAAGGAACCCACAAGCTAGTGAGATAGCAAGACATATGTAATTACCTTTAATGTTGCAATATATGCTAAAGAGAGATGAACCAACAGGAACCAAAAAAAAACTATCTCAGGCCAGTTTTTGGATTCCTTGAAACATGAGCACAGATATAATTTTAACAAATGAGATGAGTGTTCTTGTTTTCTCTTTCAGAAGAAAAAGGAAAAAATAAGAGGAATCTTTGAATTGCCCATAGATAATTGGTCCTTTAGGTTGGTGGTGACATCTCATGCTAAAACTTTTAGCAGGAGGCCTACAGCAGGAATTCTAGGCAGAAGGAAGAGCACAAATCAAGGCAGCAAAATACAGCTGTGTGTGGCCTAGTTGGACTGTACCTATTGTGTGGACAAGGCAGAAGATGGATTGTGAAGGAAGGTAAGGGTCAGATGGTAAGGTACTAAATGCTGTCCATGTATTTAAGGCATTTTTCTTTGGACAACAGAAAACCACAAATAGTTTTTAAAGTTGAGAAGATGGTATTGAAGAGGTGGGTTTTAGAAATTTAGCTCTGATATAATATGGAGAAAAATAAGAGGGAGGAAGAGAGGAAAATAAATAGTTAAGAGGTTAACTGTGGATGAAATCTCGTAGTAAATAAAAACTAACAAATACTGAGTGCTTATAAATGCCAAGTACTAGGGTAAGTGTTTTTAATGTACTATCTTAAATTTATTTTTCACAAGAACTTCATGAGATGGGTATGTTATTGCCTCCATCCTACAGTTAAGAAAACTGAGAGTGCTAGCAAAAAACTGAGACTCAACTCTTACCAGAATGTTATTGTTTAAAACAAAATTTTAAAGTTTCCTAAACAATGTCTATCTCTTTCTAAGTTTCCCTAGTTTCTGGCACAAAATAGATATAGCTAACTCTTGAACAACATGGGTTTTGAACTGTGTGGTTACACTTATACAGATTGTTTTCAATGGAGCACAGACTGAGAATACCGCATTCACAGGATGCAAAGGCCACATACCTGAAGGGCTGATTTTTTAATATAGTATGTGGGTTGTGGGTCTCGAATATGTGAAGTTTGGCATATGTGGAGGGGGCGGTTGGCGGGAATTCTGGAACCAATCCCCTATATACCTAGGGACGACTGTGCTTAATAAACATTATTATTTGACAGTACTGTTAAATAGACAGGCTCTGCAAATATAATCCTTATTTATATGTTCCTTTAAATCTCACTTTCTAACTGATGAGAAGCAATGGCTCTCTTCTAGAATAAAAATGCAGAACACTATTATCAGAGGTTTAGAAATAACCATCTGTATCATCCTATCAATTCTACCATAAGATTATTGCTGTAGGAGATTACAAAAACATTTGCATTTAAAATGAAGAATAGCAGTGATATTCCACAATCAAACATATAGACAAGAAGGTGAAAAAAATTTGTTATTCCTTCTGAAAAGAGGAACAGAAAAGACTTGTTCACAACATTTATAAATGAAGACAAATAGTGAAAGACATAAATTTGTAGCAAAGCATTTTCCAACTATGTAATATATGTCATTTGCTGATGGAAAGTATCTCAAAAAATAAATCACACTGTGCTTTGGTAATTCAGTACCATCTCCAGGAAGCTAGAGGAAAACACAGCTTAATATCACACAGTTTATTTGTTTATTCACTGTGTCTATATAATACACTCATTGCTTGGGCAGTTTTACTACCGTTTATGTTAAATGTGATACATCTCCTGACTGTAGGGTCTTCAACTTAAACATAAAAATATCCCTCAAAAAATGAGAAAAAGAAAAACACTTAAAGAAAGTGAAAATACAGGTGAGGGTATATTTCAATTCAGAGAGAACAGGAAAAGAGAGACTCCCTAAGACATAGAGGCATAGAGCAAGCATGTATTTGCAGTTTGTATGTTTTACTTCTTATCAAATTGTTCTCTATGAACTGTATATATACTCCAGAGATGTTCTCTATAGACTACATAAATGTTACCAAGCTAAAATATAAAACTACAACCAAACAATATTTAACATGCTCTTATTACATGCCAGTAACTGGACTAAACACAAGGAACAGCATACTGTAGTTAGCAAAACAGAATTGATCTTTGCCCCCTTGGTGTTGTGCTCTAAAGGGAGAAAAGAACTGAACAAATAATAGTGTAAAAATGTACTTAAAATGGAACAGCTTCTCTGTAAGCAAAGTACAGTGTATTATGAAAATGCAGAACAGGGAGAACTTAAACAGAGTCAGAGAGGGCTTCCTTGAGGAAACATTTGACCCAAAAGTTAGAAAATAACTGAGTAAAAACTAGGAGAAAAGGAAGAAAAATGTTAAAGACATAAGTAAGGAGCACATGTCTCCCTTCAAGGAATTGAAAGGCCAGTCAGAGGCCTTTGAGGTATGGTGTGAATGGCCTGAGATGAAGCTGGAAAGGAAAGGCTTGCAGGCGCTATTAAGGTATCAGTTATAAAATGGGCACCAAAGAAGCTATTATGGGGCTTTAAGCCTATAGTTGTAGTAGACTCATTACTCAGTAATTAGACAGTAGAGTTTTAAAAACAACACGAAATAACAGGAAAAAAAACTCAACTAAAATGGACTTGTCTTTGTGTGTTTATTTTCTTAGATTCACGGCTATGTTCTCCATACTCAATCATGGGAGAGGTGATCATTTTTGGTGCTATCTAAAATATATCCAATTCTCTTCCAGGGCAAAGGTTACGATTTTTCTTCTCTGCAATTAGGTAAGTACATATAACTTGTGTTGGCCAATGAATTGTGAGCAGAAGTGCCATGTGTCACATTTAGGTCAAGACCCTAAGTGATAATTCCCCATTATCTTTCCCTTTGTCCCAGTGGCCAGCAAGCCTCCAGATGGTGGCTGCTCTGTCAGTTTGGCTGCCAGAGTGCTGAACAATAGTGCTGAACAATATAAAGAACAATGCAATACAGAGGAGTGTTGAAGTCAAATCGTAATGGACATGTAGCATGAGAAAAAATAAACTGGTGTTGTTTTAAGCCACTGAAATTTGAGAATTGTTAACACATATAACCTAACCCATCTTGGCTGATACACAGGTATAGAAAAAAGCACTAAAATTTCTATTTCTATGTTATGAGTTCCTTTAAAAATTTAATTTTGTGTATAATTAAAATAACATTAATGAAGCAATAAGCACATACTACATATACTATATATAACAACAATAAGTATACACATATTGGGGTATATGTTCAAACATCATTTACTGATAAGAATGTATAATGAAAAGTTTTAAGATAAAGAACCCTCGATATGTTTGAAAGTCAGGTTTTGACGATTAAGCTTGGCTATATTACTGATAATATGTAACTTCTTCCAGTTTAAGAATAAATGCCCTAATATTGCTTCCTAGGTCATCTTGAAATAACTAATTCCACTTAGCTCTAGAATTTCCTCATCTACCTTATGTTTTAAGGTCCTAAATATGCACAAAAATATTTTGTCAGGTTCTGTGATTGATTATGGATATTTTAAAAATTGAACAGAAATGAAACATTTACTTTCAAGAATATACAGGACAGATAAGCTGTCAAGTTTCTTTGCCTTTAGCTGAAATTATATCAACTGAGTGATAACACTCACATGGTTATTGCATTCTGTTCAGAAGCTCATACAACAGTTAGATATATAATCCTATGTGTCTGTATATAGTATATATACACTAATTGTATACATATAGATATGCACATGTTATTTATATATTTGATTAATAAAAAAGAGAAAAGAACTTAATTACTAATGAACATATGAAGACTGTGTGACAAACAACTCTTTCAAAACATAGGGTTAGCTGGGGGAAAATTTAAAAAGAAAGCCTTGGGTATTAAAAAACTTAGAAATGGGGGGGCGGAGGGGGAAACCTTAGGAAACTTGCTCTAATTCATTTAAGAGCAGTCCTCCATAATCAATGAGGTTTTGAATGGAATGACTAATGCAATAAGAAATAACATTAAAATATCCATATTACAATTTTGTTCATAAAAATTCTTCTCTCTTAATGTCCACATGACCCCCTCCCCCAAAATAAGCCTTACATCTTATGAATACTTTATATATTGTTAAGCTGTTTGTGTTTACTGTAGAGCTATTGTATGTAACTTTTGATAGCAGAAAACATTAGAAAACAGACACTTTGCTATAGCTTAATTTATATAAAAACATTGAGATAAAGCTGTAAGCATGCTCATTTTTTAATGCCTTGTCAAAGTATAGGGTTCTTTTTTCTTTTTACCTCAGCTAGCTTTACTGAAAGAAAGAAAATACTACATAGGCCTGACTAACATCAGCCACCACAAACCTTTTACATGTTATTCTTACATTATTTCAGTCTATCATTGGCTCAGAAGCGTACTTCTTTATTAACTTTTTAAAAAATGACTCTCTTGAAATATCAACATTTCTCTGAATATTATTAGGTTTTTATGTCTAAATCTACTGAATTAAGCAGGCTCAAAAGGCTCCAATTTTAATTTCTCCTTGGCATTTTAAGCCCAGGTACAGGTAAGAAACAAGCAAGATTTTCAGGCTACTATGTAATACAATTTTTCAAGGTTACAATCAGGTTAAATGCTTGCTGGTCAGAAGCTGTCACAAGGATTAAAAGCTATGATTTAAGAAAAAACTCATTGTTAAATACAGAATGAATAATAGTAACTGAAACTGATTAGATTCATAAGTGCTTTTCAGTTCTCTATTAGCCTCAAACCAGTTTTTGGATTCCTTGAAGCATGTGCACAGGTATCATAATTTTAACAAATGAGATGAGTGTTCTTGTTTTTTCTTTCAGAAGTAGTCTGACATGGAAAGAACAGTGAATGG